CCGGTTTGTTTACAAACACTGCCCGGCCCGGTGGCGGCGGCGGAGGAGCCCAGGTGGCGCGGGTCCCTGGTTCGGGGCTGGGGACCCCTGGCGAGGAGCCTGGCAAGTCTGGGGACGGGGAGACCGAGCCTCTGCTTCCTTGTCAGCGTCGTCCGTGAGGATTTGAACTCTAATGGGTCAGGCAGGGTGGGGGCTTCGGACGTTTTCTGTCCCCGCGTGACGCTGCGTGTTCTCTAGAGACACTTGGGTCGGGGACGCCGCCCCGGGGGACTGGCTGTCCTCGAAACTCTCGGGAGCGCTTTGCCAGCCCCGAGCCGAGGTAACCGCAGCGAGTTCCTGCCTGGCCGCTTCCCAGCGCCTCCCCACGGTGCTTGCCAAAGGGTGGGCGCGAGCTCTCCTGCCCAACGGAATGTGGGGGCCTCTGCCGCGGGGACCTCCCAGGGGCTGGCGCTGAGGGGCAGCCCCGACCCCTCTCTGCTTCAGGTTCTCACTGCTTGGCCGCTGACCTCTAAGGGGTGCTTTTCCTCAAATGGTGGGCTTTTTCTCCTGTCTCGGGCCGGGGAGGGGGGCGCCATCTGGTTTTTGGACCTGTTGTCCTAGGGACTGCCATCTCTGACTTCACTCCTAGCTGCAAGAGTTTGGAGTGCGTCCTCCGTTTATATCTGATCCGTGTATAGCTGACCCACAGCCAGGTCTCTGCTAATAGCACGCAGAACTGCTCCTGAGTCTTGCCGGGTTTTTTTTTTTTTTTTTTTTTTTTTGGTCTCCTTGCGAATTTGCTCTCCATGCAACGTGGTGGTGGTGGTGGTGGTGTGTGGGGTCTTTTGAGTGAGTCTTTGTCTTTGTGTCATAAAGCTAACAAGGTAGTTAGCTACTCATCTTTTTTACCCCCTTCTTTTCTTTCTCCCCTTGTTCCTCTCTTTTCCAGCAAGATTGGGTTCCCCGTTCCGTGTCTTTGGACAAGAAGGGCAGAGGTCTTTCTGGTACCCCACATAACAGAATGTTAGAGGAGCGAGGGAATCTATGGGGTTGAGAAATTAAGTAAATCTCACTAACTGCCATGGAACTTAATCTCACAAGCTTGGTGCTCCCCAGTGGTCTCTTGGTTCTGGTGTCACAGGATCTGTGATGAGTGAGATTGGATTCACCCCTCCCTACCTTTGTTCTTACCTAGTCTCTGCCTTAGGACCTCAGAGGTGGGTCTAATCTGAGTTCCGTCCATCTGTTCCTCATTTCCTTAGTACTTAATGCTGTGACTATCATTCTTCTACTGAGGAGCATTTTCATTCTCTGAACTGTGTGATAGGAGTGGCTACAGGTTCTTTCCCCCAGGGATAAGGCCTATCCTGAGGAGAGTTGTGTAAACTTCCCTTTGGTACCACCCTTTGTCCCCACCTGCACCATAGCGTATCAAGCAGTCTTGGGCTCACCCTTCAGTTGAGCTTTGCCTTATTAACTTGGGATTCAGTGACACTATTTCTTGAATCTGTCTTTATCTTTGTGCTTGTGCTAAAATCAAGAAGCTTAGAGTTAGGGGTGGAAAATGGAATAGAAGCCTGGTGCTGTGACATATTGCTGTAATCCCATCCACACCAGAGGCTGAGGCTGGAGGATGGTAAGTTCAAGGCCAGTCTTGGCAACAGAAAGACCCTGTCTAAAAATTAAAAAGGACTGGGGATCTAACTTAGTTAGTGGTAAAGCATCATTGGATTTAATCCTCACTCAAAAAGAAAAAGAAAAGAAAATAAACAGCATGTATAAAAATGCTATTTTCCTTATTTCCTCTAGGAACATAATTTTCAGACATTGAATGGGATCCACCATGAGGAATACATTTACTGCACTGTACAGGTCCCCAACTGAAATAAGTTCCAGGAAACAGTAATTATTGCACTTACTACCTGCAGTGTGTTCTGTTTAATTTTTTATACTTCATTTAAAAAAAAAGTGAACTGCTGGTATGACTCATGAATTTGATTTACTAACCAAATGGGTCATGACCCACAGTTTGAGAAACATCACTTTTGGGTGGAGGTCCTCAGACTTAAATGTGCAAAAAGATTACCCTGATCCCAGTAGTGATTAAAAATAGTTTGTCAGGCCATTCTGGATTGGTTTATTTTCAGTGGGGCACAGAAATCTGCTTTTCTTTTCCTTTTTTTTTTTTTTTTGCACCGTTGCGGATTAAGCCCAGGATCTATGCATGCCAGGCAAGCACTGTGCCACTGAGGTACACCCTAACCTTTTTATCTATTTTTGGTACTGAGGATGGAACCCAGGGACTCCTTACAATTGTGCTACATCCTCCATCCTTTTTACATTTTCTTTTGAGACAGGGTCTCACTTAGTTGCTGAGGGTCTCACCAAATTGCTGACACTGGTGTCAAATTTGTGATCATGCCTCAGCCTCCCAAATCACTGGGATTACAGTCATGCTCCATCATGCCTGTTTCTTTTAAAATTTTCATATTCAGACAGGGTCTTGCTAAGTTGCCCAGGCTGGCCTTAAACTTGCCATCTTCCCACCTCAGCCTCCTGAACATTTTTATTTTTACTTTTTATTTTCTGTATTCCACTTGGGAGCTCTGGAGCAGAAGGCTTTGGAATCTGCATTTTTTTTTTTTAAAGAGAGAGTGAGAGAGAGAGAGG